TATTATTATTATTAATTAATTAATATTACTATTTTTCAATTTGATCAATGAAAATTTTAGAGGTGAGTCATCCTCAATGAACACTAGTGATGCGCATAATCGGATGATTTGAATAATCGGAGACGGTATTCGATTATTTCAATAATCGGATGATCATCCGATAATCGCTCAAATGTTTGTGGAACGGTATCAGGAAGTTGAAACGGTATGTGGAACTGAGATGCGGCTTGTTGGACATATCCGCGGCCGCTCATATGTGGGGAAGATTCCTTTCCTTACATCGCGTGTCGATTCTATTTACTATAATATTTTTACATTCGGAAATGTAGGGGTCACGAATTTGATCGTTGTAAAATTATTTTTAAAACATTCTTGTCAATTGTGATATTAGGACTATTAGGTTATTTTTAACTAGGTATTTTATTTTATTTCTGTTAAATTGTTTGTATTTTTATGTTTATATTTGTATATGTTATATTTATTTTGTGTCTTTTAAAATAGTTACGTTTTCAATATTTTCACCCCAATAATTTATTTTTATTATTAGTGATTTCTCCATCTATTCCTCCAAAGAATTTAATTTTCACGCGAATAGAAGTAAAATAACTCGAGGCGTGCGGCAGTCCACTGTACTCATCACGCCACAAAACATATGTACTCGCTTACCCTCCGTACACGCTAGCCGCTAGGACGTGAAAGAATCGACGCGAGACTACTCGATTCGACCGATTATTATTCGACCGCGGTTGGCATCAGCTTCGTAGTCGGCTTCTCAAATCGACGATTACGTACTGATTATGAGATTCGAGTAGTGACCGATTATCATCCGAATTCTTTTTTAATAATCGGAAGGTTTCGATTATTTCAATAATCGGATGATCGATTATTTTTCATTCGAATGATCCCATCACTAATGAACACCTTGTAGTGGTTCAATTAACTAAATCATAGTCAAAGAAGACCAGTAATAAACCTAAATCATGTACCAAATTTGGTACTTTTACGGTAAAGTATTGCAGAGATATTAATTTTTTTCGAAATTTAGGACCCCACTTTGGGGGCTAATAACTCCTCAGGGGTGCAACTTTGTATATAGGTAAGTTTGGTTAAATTACAATATTTTGGACACCCTTACATGTGCTTGCCCTGTGTCCGTTCTTATGCGGGACACCCCGTATGTAATTAATACAAAAAAACACGTAACTTACATTAAATCATGTAATTATTCCAAGAAATATCTTGTATTTTTAATATTATAATTCTACCATCACCCTTGACAAAGACCAAAGACGTAAAAAACAGCTAATACAAAGATACCTTTTTGTTTCAATAACATTTCACTTTTCCGGTTCTCCTTATCTGGTGAATAAAGAAACAAACAATACAGGATGTTCCACCTAAGACAGATTCTTCTGTAACTCTAACAGTAAAATTGATAAAAAAATAGTTTTTATAAAAGTTGTCTGTCATTTTTAACTTTACAAGATGTTCCATTTCGCATGAGCGCTACATAACTCTGTTATTTTAAATGGAACACCATGTATATTATTACGTTTTTGAATTCCTTGGTTAATATTAGGCCTAAGCTAAGTGCCGCGGTGGAAAAACAATTCCACCACCCTCCGACATACATAGACATACATACATACATTAGGTAGCGTTTATTAAATGTACATGGTGTTTAAAACTTATCGTTTTCGAGATAATCAGTTGTTTTTGAAAAAAATCACGATTTCAGTTCTCTAAATGAAGCTAGATAGCGTCTAAACCGTAAGAGTAAGAAACCTGCAGTTTTCACAGTTCGTTTTGGCATAAATTACTCTATCTTGTCAGCTGTGAGCGAAACGTGTACAGTGATGGGCAACTTAAAGTCCCCACTAGTTGGGTCGCTCTCATTCTCTTGCGCCCCACCACAAATAATTAGGTATGATTCGGACTGGGAGTGTTGTTTGGAGATATACACCGTGGCACAAAAAACTGTTGTATTCAATAGGGTAAATAATAATTAATCCGATAACAGTTGCATTTGATATTTTAAAATATGTACATACATTATTTTATTAATGATATGTATGTAACATTTCCTAGTTAGTTAAATAAGAATATTGAAGATTTTCTTTGAAAATAAAATGTTGAAAACCATTTTCTTTTTTAATAATTGTTCGCAACATTCACATACCTGCATATTTATTTCTTTTTCCTTTACTAGGGATATTCATT